CCACTCGGCAGGATTGTATTCAGGAGCACCTAGGTGAATAACCAAGTCAGATACATTTTGACAATATACAAGTGAACCAGCTGCGGCAAAGTAATTGACAAATTCAGCCTCACGATTTCTATACCAATAAAATGTAGTACCTGGAGCAAGTAATTTTTTTTTATTCAAGCCTTGTTCCTAAAACCTCAGAGAGGTCTTATGGAAGTCCCAAATCCCTGACTAAGTCATTTAGTTCTACTTGAGAAAATAGCTGCAATTCACGGGTTCCTGAGGTAGATGGCTCAAAAATGTCAATTTCTGAATCTGTTGAAGATTCTGATTCGATAGACTGTAATGGTGGAACAGGTACAGGTATATCAGCGTCATGTGGGACTGGTCTTATTGCAGACGAAAGATTAGGATAGTTAATATACTTTAGAGATTTTGTGTTATGACCTTTATTATCAAGACAAAAATAGAAGTCGTCAATGTGATTTTTAGGTTCTCTCCAGACCATTGGTATTACAAACGGTAGGGCTTGTCTTGTTCCTTTAAACCAATGCCTCAAGGCTTCTTCGCAAATCTTGCAGATAAAATGTGGCGCCCAAGGTTTATCTTGATCTCCAAGTCTGACTTTAAAATATACAAAATATGCATTTTTTACGAAATCAGTAATGTTTCTTTTAAACTTCTTCACTATAAAGTGTCCACAAATATAACAAAAGTCATCAGGCCTATTTTTACAACACCTACTAGACATTTTTTTAATAGAAAGTGCACAACGAAACACCGACAGAATTCGATAGACAACGCCTGTTTCAATACCACGGGGATCAGCGTTGGGTTTTTAGTAGCAACAGCTTGTACTGAAATTCAGATCGTGATTGTACTAGAACGTATTAGATTTGGCGGTAAATTTCAAATGAAAAAACAAACTCACTTTAAACAGAAAATAAATAAAATAGGTACAATAAAAATATATTCTTACGTTGGTAAATAAAGAATTTAAAAAGAAACAAAATAAACTTTATTTTAAACAAAAAAATATAAATTAAAACACGTAAAATAAAAATATATATTTACGTTATATGGTTAAATAATAAAATTTAAAAATAAAAATAAAAACAAACCTATTTTTAATAGAAAAACAAATAAAATAGGTGTAACAAAAATATATCTTTATACCTATTGATAAATAAAAAAATGTAAAAAATAAAAAATATTTGATAGATTACAATAATTATAATGGACTGTAAGTGTAGTGTATTTAATAAATAATTTACCGTGATTAAAAATGTTTAAATTTATTTACCAGAACATGAAAGTGCAATCGATATTCATCAGGTTTTTAAATTTTCTGCTGCGTTATATGTTTGATATCGATGATAGCAACACTTAGTGGGTTAGATGTTAACTGCGTTTGAGCTGGTCGTTGTTAAGCATGTGCTTCTATAAGCGTATCTTATCTTTATGTCTCTTTATGAAGACTCATAGTCCCTTTATCTCTGGTATAAAGTATCGCATTGGGAGTTTTAGAAGTGTCTACTGTCTAGCATAGAAATTAGAAATCATAGAATGCATTATTCAAGAAGTACAGCAAAATATTTAAAATGTACTAGATTTAGACACGTTTATCTTTTGTGTTACTAGCATTTTTGAATGGTTGAAATGTACTGAATCTAGTACAATTGTACTAGTAAATCCAACACTGACGGGGATACTAAATATATCGTGCCCTCTTTCCTGAATAAATCGAGTCTCGGGGAATCCCCAAACAATATTCTAGTGAGTACCGGTAAATCCCCCTACAAATGCGTTTCAACGCGTCCCAACGTTTTGAACAAAAATAAGGAATTCAAATTAATTTGTTTGTGATGTTCAGGGATAATACCCTTGATACTAGTTTACAAAAAAAGATTACGTGATAAAATAAAAGGGGGTTATTTTATCTATATAGAAGTTGTAAATAGGTGAAAAAAATAAAATGGCTAGATTACAAAATTTTCGCGGGCCTGTATAATCATTAAAACATGTCCTATCTGGGTAATAATCCAATAATAAAACGTTTCTCTTGAAAATGGAACTCGTCGCATAAAAACAGTGAATATAATATGTATAAAAACAAAGAAACAATACCACTGTAATTTGCTGGAAGTATTCGCGGTATGATTTCCATCGCGGTATTTAGCGTTTAGCGGCATTTTTGGTAGCGACGAGGCTCCGGTGAAAAACGACTTCCTCGTATTGCAGCTGCGATGCGAATCGCGTATCATTTTGTCGTTTATCAAGAATTTCTAAAGTTTACCTTTTCGATCGAGAACCGTGTTTGGTAGCGCGCGAGTGGTGTCTCTTCTTTGTTGACCTCTCGCGCCTTTTTGCACAACGAAATTATCGACTGTGCATTTCCTTTTCGAATGTTCTCGGAACAGACGTCACTTAGTTAGTTATCATTAGCACTGTGTTTGGTAGTGAAACAACTACCAGGTGCCCGAGATGCCATATAAAGTGGAAAATTTCATTAAACGCTGCCTGCCGTTTCGATTGAGCCACTCGGGGTTGACAAAGAAACAAGGACGCGTTAAGTATACCTACAGCACGAGTACCTGACGACTGACGAATTTGTACTGACACAATGTCCATTCGCTTTTTATTTAACAGGCTGTTAATTGGTAATTCTCGTATATCAAAAATGTATGACAAAAGAAACACCCTAGCAATTTTTGCGCCTTAAAAATAACTACTAGGTTGTTTATGGCGAAAGAAAGTTCGATATTTAAATTTTAAAATGTTTTGCTTCTACTCTGATATGTGGCAACAATGTAAGCTTGTTTCTTATGATTTAGTCATTGTACTACGGTGGTGTAGGTGTCTACGGCGCGGCATTAATTTGTCAGCCAATTTTCTGATAAAACGAGACACGGTTTCAGATCCTACCGAAGACAATTTATTTGCATGGTTCTCTATAGGATTGGATGGATGCCATATTAGCAGAAATTTAATTTCTGTTGATATGACATCCAGATTATTAAAATAAAAATCACCATGCCCTACCGTTTTCGATGATGGTGGGTGAGGTTTTCCGGGTTTTCCTCACCTGTAAGTCAAAAGGCACCATCAATTATCTTTAAGTCGCCCCGAAGCGCCACTGCAAATAATAATAATAGCACAAACTCAGCTTTTGGGGTTAAAATTCACTCGTAAGGGGTTAAAATTCACTCGTAAGGGGTTGAATTAGGGAGAGTATTATACTAGAAAAATCACTTCCATCTTTTTCTCTCAGCTAAAAGAAAAGGAGAATAATTTTAGAATAATTCGTACCAATTTAGAGCTGTGAGTATCTATTCTGTGGTTATTATCTGCTCAAAATTATTTTAAGGTGATTACAGCACCCCCTTATAATTTTCGGACAAGCATATCTCAAAAAGTAATTTTTTTTTAAATGAAAATTTTGGCAAAATAAATTAGGCCATAATATCTAGAATATGCATATATTTTAAATTTTCAGTTCCTTCTAGTTTCCGAGAAAAAAAATCAAAGGGCTTTAAATTTTGAAATATCATAATGAAAATAAATGCATTCCTCAACAGCAGTATTCTTAATATAATCCCCAAATTTAGGCTCTTTATCTCTTGTTAATGATTTTTTAAAATTCGCCGAAATTAGTGGCTAAAACGCCTCGTTAAGGGCTGCTTTCTGGTGTAACGCGTCTGTAACTATCGTATCGTACAATCTGAGTCATCATTCGTTTCTTGCAACGATTTACACCAGTTCCATCTTCCTGTTTTTTTAGCCTTGTTAAATTTTTTCTTACTTGTTTCCTTGGCTTCGCATAACATAACATCCAAAATTAAGTAATGCGTTTAAAACATCCAAAATCAAGCTATCTTGATGTTGCATCGCTTAAAATATATTTCGAACCTTAAAGTAAGGAAGGGTAAATAGGAAGGATGAGATAAAACATGCTAACTATTAAAAAAAATGATTTTACATAAATTAAAGGTATTTTTAATTGGCTGAATAATGAAATTTCCTAAAAAAAATAATATGTGTACAAATAAATCGCTATTGTGTAATCATTGTATGAAAAACATTAAACACAAAAATATTAATATCAAAGCTTATCATAATATATCAGACGGCTTTTGAGAATCAAAAAGAAATATATAATAGTAGATGATTCGGAAATTCAAACATCTGCATTAAAACGTCCGCGGCTGACAAAACACCGAATCGTGACACCGATTAGAGATGGAAGAAAAATAACGGTATCATAGATATGCCGTTACAAATTTAGTTCTTTCTTACCCCAAAATCAAAATTTCATCTTAAATTTTGCCTGAAATTAAGTCATCCGAAGTTTTCAAGAGGACACCCGTATAACATTTTATCTACGACCACACTCAAAAACAAAGATTATATAGAAATCTTTAATGAATACATTATTAAATTAAATATATCAAAATATAAAGGAAAGTAAAATCAGGTGTTATATCTTAATAAAATCTGAGTATTCCATTATGGGAATGGTATTCAAATGAAAATTAATAATTAATCACTTTTGAGAATAAATTTTGTACAAAACTCATAAACAAATCGACATGTCAATTTAAATGCACAACACTTGTTGCTTTGTGAATGAATTATAAGTAAACCAAATGACAAATGGTTCACTCACGTGATGAAATAAAGTAAAGAGTGATTCACAAACAATGTTTCTTATAGGTAGGCCTTGGAAAAATTCACGTATGTCAAGCGTATGATTCTTCTTTTTTTTATGTGTCAGTTTGGATTTAATTCAGAACCGCACGTGGTTATCATGGAAATGACTCGTACGTATCATTCATGTCCTGCTTTAGAAATATTTTTTGTGTATCACTCTTTAGTTGTATAGTAAATTCCATAAGAATAGCATTCATGTTCACCAACATATATTTCTGATTATAACCGATTTCACTGATTAATAGTGTAAATAGTAAAAATAATGAAATAATGATTGATCATTGTTCTTGGTTTCTTTCCAGAGTCCAGTAAATGCAGAGACGGGCTCAGCTCACGACGAAACGAGTTCCAGTGGTAACAAAGAAGACGAAGACGACGACGATGATGAAAGCGATGACAAAATTGATGCGCAAACTCACGACCCCGAAAGACTGAAAGCATTCAACGTAAGTAAATTTTTTTCAATATTTCTTTTAAATATCAAAAACGATTTTTTTACCTTATTCCTTTTTGAATAATTTCTTTATTTTTCTCAATTAATTTTTTTTTCTAATTTGCACAGTTTTTCTTGAGTCTACAGTTCTTTGAATATTTATCTTTGTAGATGTTCGTAAGACTGTTTGTTGACGAAAACTTAGACAGGATGGTTCCTATTAGCAAACAACCTAAAGAAAAAATCCAGGCTATAATCGATTCCTGCACCAGACAATTCCCGGAGTTTGCCGAAAGAGCGCGAAAAAGAATACGGACGTATCTTAAGTCTTGTAGAAGGAATAAAAGAGCGAGGGATCCGAATTCTCCTTGGGATGCGGTAAGTACAACAAGAGTGCAAAATAAGTACAATTATTTAACAAAAGGATACATTACCGTAACATTTGATAAACAGATCAAGCTAGAAAACCTGGTGTGTGTGTGTGTCCTAGATTAAATTTCTATTCGAGTATTTTGTTTTTCCTGTAAATACCAAGTGAGCAGGCCAAATGATTTTTGTTCAAGAAATTTTTATCTATGTTGTGGAGTAGGTATTTTAGAATAGAAGGTCCTGCTTTCAACGCTTCGTTGTTTGGTACACTTCCTATAGACAGTTTTTGGAAGCTATATTGGGGAAAACCTCATTTGAAGGTTTTTTTCCATTACTTGGTCTTTTTCCAAACTCTTATAGTTTCTGCAGTAGAACTAGAGACAGTTTAAGGGTATTGACTTTTCATGTCTAATACTATATGGCTTCTCTTTGGAGTAATATATGTGGTTTACCTTTTTCTCTTCCTTCAACATAGGTTTTATTTCCTGTACTTTCCTAACTAATGTCCGATAACCGCAACATGTTGGCTTAGTGTGTTTTACACATTTGGTGTATAGCACCCACTTCTTCAAATTTATAACTTGAATATTGTTATGCTCTTTTGATTGACCTTTGTCAGAAATAATTCTATGTTAGACTTGACTCGCTACTTGAAAGGTAGTATATTTATTAAGTGAAGGATCTGCAAATATACCTTTTAAGTAGCGAGCCCACTCTAGTAAAGCATTGTTTCCTTTTTACAAACTGGGTAATTTAATACTGATATGTTCATTGTGTTGGTTTTTTGTTTTTTTTTTTTTTATTTTAATGCGCCTGTGTTTCTTGCTGGTAGAAAAAGAGGCATATTTATTTATGAATTCAATTAGTGGTTTGCAAGATCAAAAGTAGTCTTGCATCTTTGGTCTTAGTCTTGCCTAGACGGTCTTTATCTTGGTCTTGTTGTAAGACCTCCAAGATTTTTAAGACTCTTGCAAAACTTTTGCACATATTTTTGAAGATGTGTAGAAAAGAATATTGCACAAAAAGTTGTAGTATAAGTAATTTTTTTTAATATATCTTGAAAAAACAATGGTGTGCAGCAGCTAAGGGTCGCAATATTTTTCTAAATACATATCCTGTATTGTATAACATTTGATATTCCACTAAGAAAGCTGATTTTAAAAACTAAAACAGTTCTAAAGTAAGTAGTTTAAAATCGTTCATTTCCCACTTAACTATTGGCTTTTCAAACATTATAGTTTTTTGAAATCAGCTCTTTAAAGGGGAATACTAAAATTCTATATATTGAAAAAATGTTTTAAAAAATGTATATAATTATATAATGTCATTAAATATATCATAATTTTCATCTAAATAGTTTTATGCCAATTCTTCTTGACCGTGTTCATCTATTTGATTGAAAATTACTTTGATTGAACTCGAGAGAATGCAACATAGAGCTGGCCATGCGTAAACACATCCGTCGTTAGATCAATGCCGATAAATTCGAAGGTTTGGCCTTGTGACTTATGGTGGCGTTCCATGGTGAATCTCAGACCTTTGTCAGTTTCTAAAGTCATTCCTGGAATGTAGGCAACTCTTCCTTTGTGTTCTCCAGTCACGATTTTGGCCACGATGAGATTTGGTAACAATTAAACGTATCCCATTACAAAGACCTTCATTTACACGTATATTTCGTATAAGCATGATCATAGAATAACTTTAATTCGTGTGAAGGTAGATCTGCCAGATTTCTGCTCCATAAGTATTCATTTGAGAAGTCTACCCCTCCAAGTTGGTCTTTCACGGTATCAATTCTGTTATAGACGACTTCATTTTCAGGAATTCGCTGATGGACCATATCATTGTACACTGGTGATGTCAAGGTGTCAAGATGGCTCGATGAAGGACTTCTTTTTTCCAGTTGTCATAATTTGCAAAGCATGTTCCATACTCATCTTCTACCAGGTCTCCTGTTGATTTAAAGTCATCACTCAATTTGATTTCATCTAAGTCGTTGCTAGGCAATCATCCAACTCCCATCGCTAACACCTCTTTGGCCCATTCAACCTCATAGTCATCATCAGCTTGTTTGTTGTAATTCCCATGTGGAAGGGATATTGTACCTTGCAACTTAATTCCATGCTTGACGGTCTTAAGAATATGACGAAGAATACATCAGTGATCTTTGTCCAGAAGTAGCTTCTTATTCTCGTCTAACTTGGGCTTAGGATCGTATAAATAGAAAAATGTTTGTCCGCCAAGCCAGCCTTTATCATAGTAGCCAACATCCAATGTTCTCCGCCTAGAGAAAAGGTGCAGCCGGATACGCGTTTATATTCTTTGATCTGGTCGAGGACATTTTCATTTAAGGCATACAAATTGGCTGTGTAGTTTGGATGAATAAACGCAGCCTTAATTTGAAATTGTGATGCCACCCATTGTAAAAACTTGATGACCACTTCTCCTTCAAGCTGACCTTCAGGATTTAAGATGGATTCATAGGATGCTTGATCCAGGTGTTTCGGAAGTTGATTCATCGAGAAATTTATAGTTGATTGCTTATTGATTGAAAAGTGTGTTGTTAAACAACGGTAATTTGACAGACAGACATTGACACTTTAATATAGTAGGCCGTAATTTGTAATCTTTGACATCTAGTTCATTTAAATTTTCGACCGAATTCTGTATCTCGGGAACTAAAAAAGTAGGTACCATGATTTTGATGTCATTTTGCTTCTCTAAGTGTCCCTAGCTTATATCTGAGTCCGATAAGGTTTCTGCTTTCTCTATCCCGAGATCGCGGCACGGACAGACAGACATTGGCACTTTAATATAGTAGGATTCAAAAACACAATGAATCATTACATAGCAAGACCTCTAACCACGTTTTTGAGGTCTTTGAAAATGCGCGGATTCGCTGATAAATATTTCTTTCACAATAAAAAAGAAAAAAAAATATAATAAAAATATAATATATAAAAAACGTATTTAGAGGTCTTGCTATGTAATGATTTATTGTGTTTTTAAATGATACTAATGCCCAGAATCATTCGTAGTAAAATTATATCTGGATTTTCGTGCTAAATATTGTTTTTTTTTTTATTCTGAAAGAGTAATGTTTATCAGCGGAACTGCGCATTTTGAAAGACCTAAAAAACATATTTAGAGGTCTTGCTATGTAATGATTTATTGTGTTTTCGAATGATACTAATGTACTGAATAATATTATAAATTATATCTGGAATTTCGTGCTAAATATTGGTTTTTGTCAAAGCAATGTTTTTCCACGAAACAGTGCATTTCTAATACCTAAAAAATTTTTCTAATGTTGACATATAAAGTGACATTTTTTGTAATCCCAGCAAATTTCATTAAGCAAAAGGCATTAAGTCAAAAAATAGGTTTATGAGTTATAAGTTATAAGTAATTTAAAGTTTCAATAAAGTTCTAATTTTTTTATAAATTATTTAGGGATTATCAACTGCTTCAATGAAAATGTACATGCTTTCAGAATACAATGTACTGTTTTTACATGATATACAAAAATATAAACCCATTTTGACAAATTTTTGACTTAGTGCCTTTTGCTTGTAAGCCCACGATATACATTATTATTGAAAGTATGTTTCAAAGAAGGACAGGTTGACTTATAAAAATAGAATTTGGTTAAACTTACATCCTAGTAATAATATTGTTTGGGCCTTATTTTCCATTCTAAATTAGCACAAAATAATTGAAACACAATAGACGACAAAATAACTAAATAACTAACAAAATCTAAATAACTTTAAAAAGCAATATAAACGCACTACAAATCGTTGAGATTAAATTAATATGATTTTTTATTTTTCAATGAAATCAATGAAGTTATATTGGTTGCCTAGATGTCAGTAATGTTTTACCAAAACACAATTTTATAAATAATTAGAAAAAATATTACACGTCACGAAATGACGATTTATGTAACTTGTTCATGTTGCGGGACCTCGCTCTGCTCGTCCTGCAATTATTCACTTGTTACATAAAATAAGGCATTTTTGTAACTGGTTGCATAAATAGCTATTTGATAATTTATTATTTTTTTATTGACCCTTGTTTATTGAATCTTTGATATAACAATTTGTATAAATGTTTGTTTTTGTTGGTTTGATAGAGCAATATTTATCCGCGGAAAGGCTTGACTTTAAAGACCTAAAAACTATATTTAGATGTCTTGTTATTTAATGATTTTTTATTTATTTTATCGGTAGTAATGTACTGAATTGTTGGCATAAAAATTGTATTTGTAATCTCGTGCTAAATGTGTTTTTTGGTCTCTTTGTTCTCATAGTTGTTTGACGACAAACAAACTTAAAAATAACAAAATAGTTATTTTGGTATTAAATGCGTAAAATGAGTGTTTTTTTAATGGCACATGAATGAAAACACGAATTTTATACACGAAATACAAACAACATTTTTTATACAACTGTCAATGTGAATTTACATCGTCTGAAATATATTAAAAATAAATACTTCCAATTACAATAATTGAGATTTCTAACAAAATATTGAATTGTCCATCTTCTTCCAAACAAATTGAAATATCTGATAAAATTGTGGAATTAACTCTTCAAGAAATATCTAACGTTTCTGATCAGCAGCAACATGGAACATCTTCGGGAATTTATGTTGGAAGTAATTGTTCAAATTTTTAATTATTATTCTAATAAATGAAATTGTTTTATGATGAATAATCAATTAATAATTGACTCTGTTAAAAATAAATCCTTCAAAAAGTAATATTTCATGTTTATTTTGTGAATTATTTTGGCAGTGAAGAAAAGTCTTTTTCACGGTTAAAAAAAGAAAACATTTACGCATCAATAGAGATGCAGAAATGTAATTTTTTTTTGACAGTTGTACAAGAAAATATATTTTGATTAATTGTTTAGCCATAATTTTTTGTTTAATCAATTAATAGGAACCTAATGAATGTTTGGTATACAAATTATAATTTTCAACAACAATTATGTATGAACTGGTGTAGAATAAACAATTTGAAATGTGTTATTTTAACGTATTTATCAGAATTATCAAAAAAATACAAACCCTCTACGCTTTGGTCAATTCATTATATGCTAAAAGCTACACTTTCGGTTAAAAATTATGTAGACATTGGAAGTTAAAAAAAAGTAACAGCATTAAAAAAAACCAGTCAGTATGACATGTTCCAAAAAATCAAGAATATTCTCTTCACAAAACTTTTTTGCAAACGGCTCCAGATGAAGAATATTTAATGATAAAGGTAAAAAGTGATACTTGTAGATGTAATGAACTTACTAATTCAACAATAGATGATGTTTAAGAAAAAGATGATATTCTGCTGATTAATATGGGATATTCTAAAACTTACATGCCGAGAACATTCACTATATGTAATTAAGAAAAAGAAAATTACATTGATGTTGTTTCAATATGCAAGAAATACTTTTCTTTACGTCCAGATATCGTGAATTCTCGTCGTTTATTTATACACTATCGCGGTGGAAAATGTTTTGCTCAAAATGTTGGACATCACACAATTGGGTCAATATCATTCAAGATAGATGAATATTTAAATTTGTCTCACCCAAAAAAATTATACAGGACATGTACTTAGGCGAACATCAGCGACAGGACATGTACTTAGGCGAACATCAGCAACATGGCATGGCGGATGGAAGTCAGCTAGTGTAGCAGAAGAATAAAATATCTACAAATGCCCTACATGAATTTTCCATAGATGAACCGTCGACTAGTACACATCAATTTATCAGCACATCAGTTGTGAGAGCGCATTGTACAAAAATGGATATTTCTGATTCACCACAAGCGGGACCATCCTTTAATAATTGTGTAATAAATAACCCAATATTTAATATAACATCGCACCCCTTTTTCAATAGTGTCATATCCCTAAAAAAATTTAAATTGACTTTTTTTGCCCAACGTATACATTATGAACATGCCTACAATATATAAAAGTGCCATACCAATAGTTCTAATAAATTCCGCGCGAGGCGCCATCAACAGTACTGCCATATCACATAACATTTTTTTTGTTTTAGGCTATCTGTGTAAATTTGACATTACATTATATGTATCATTAAGCAGTAGAGACATCTTTAATCAATATGTATACCGAATTTGGTAAGCACAAGTACTGAAAATGCTGCTCAAAAAAATTTACATCCACAATCGTTTTTGTTTCACTTCTCCTGTAAAATTAACATTTATAAGGTTATGGCACTATTGAAACTGGGGTGCGACATATAAATAAGTTTTGTAAATGTTATAATATATTTTTGAAAAAACAATAATAATCATTTCATTTTAATGTAGGGAAAGTTTTCTGTTAGTTCTGGATAAAAATAGTACGTAAACCACGACAGTAAAGTGGTTTTCCAGGCCTCGCAAATATTTAAATTGAATTATTCCATTCAATTTTTTTTTTTTAATAACTGCACTAATGTTTATTTCTTTCTAAACTTTCATGATTCTAAATTCCACCTAAACCAAATATTTTTTCGAATAACAATATCGAAACTTGAAGGGACCGCCGCGCGGTTTGTCTGTCCCATTTTCGCATTCAAGCCTCGAAGAGGGTTGAAAAGTATATCGATTTTGAGTAGAATAAAAGAAAATTTACGAGTGGCTCTTGGGGATAACACATGTAAAATTAGATTTTCCTTATCAGAAAAATTTTCCGACCACAAAATGCACTTATACATTCGGGTCATTCAAGACTAATGACGACGTACGTTTTCATACATTCGATGGGCTTGTCTGGAAAAATCGAGTAAAAACTCGAATTTTCCTTAGAAGATTACGCCCTTATTTCAATCCTTTAGCCACTTGCAACATTAAAACCTTTAGTTTTCCGAAGCCTAGTTCTATTAATTAATCATATAGTGAACACGGCTTGTGTGGAAAAATGGGCAACAAATAACTTTTCGTTTTGTTAGGGAAAATTGAATTTTCCATGTGTTATCCCCAGCAGCCACTCGTAAATTTCTTTTCATTCTACTTAAAATCGATGTACTTTTTAACCCTTTTCGAGGCTTGTATGCGAAAATGGGACACCTAAACCTGTCACTATATCTGACGGACTACTTACTAGATATGTTCAGCGTATATTAAAATAACTCACATGTAGCTACAAATCTTATATTTTTTTGTATTTTCAATAATAATGATAATAAAGGGTAGCTAATTTACAATGTACAACCCTGTAAAATAGTTACATTAGGTTATTTAAATTTTATCGATAAACCAGCAATCTTTGCTCGAAAAAATTCTCTTTGTAGTTGGAAAACTGAGAGTGTCTCGCAAGCCTCGCAACTCTTTTAGCAAGACCAAAACCAGCTCAATCTTGGTATTGGTGCAAAACCAAGATCAGTCTCGCATTATCACTGAATTCAATTATGGAATAATACCACGAATGTTTAAACAGTTTAAGAAATATGCAATAAATGTATCTATTGTATATAAAGCAATAGGTATTTCATTTGAATGAGTAAAAAAAATGCTGACCGTTTTTGCAGACTCGACCTACTCCTGCGCATTTGACCTCGGTGCAAGCTGAACAAATTCTTGCGACGGCGTGTGAAAACGAAAGCCATAACGCCAAAAGAATGAGGCTAGGATTGGAACCAGTTAGTCAACCAATGCCCATATTACCTGGAGTACAGGTACGAATACTATTTTTTTTTATTATTATTATTATATATAATTACTGTAATTAAAGTTTGGTAAACATACGGCAAAAATGCAAGAGGTTGTTCCTTGTACTATTCTAAGAATATTTTATTTTTGATGATTTGTGAAAACCCGCTTTGTTTCGAAGATACAAGATGAACAAAATTTGCGACAGTCAATGATAAGAAGATCGAATGCTTGTATCCAAGCTAAGTTATTTTGAACATTTATTGTAGATTAAGTAACTTTACATATATTTTTTGATAATAAAAGGTTATTACTGTCAAAATTTTGTTCACCTTGTATCTGCGAAACAAAGCGGGTTTTCACAAATCATCAAATAACAAAATATTCTTAGAATAGTCCAAGGAATAATCCCTTTTTGCCGAATGTTTACCAAACACTCTGTATTTCCAAGGTTATGGAGAATTATTTAAGTCGGAAATATTCTAATACGTTATTTAATTAGGAATAAGTACATTTTTGAACGATGGCATTCTATATAATTACTAAATTTTTATCTGATATGCTACGATTACTATCCATCGTAGGCTTGGAAATTAAAGATATAACAGCTTTTCCGTTCTAGAATTGAACCGCAATCAATACAATGAACTTAATTTGTCAATTTGATATCGACATCTCGGTATGCCTGTTTTACTAGTCAAATTTTAACAAGCTCTCAATTACTTTCAATGAAACTCTGTTATGTTATAGACCATAATGTGAGCTACGAAAAATAATGTTACTTAAGTTTAATATTTTTGCTACATAAAAATAAGCAGGCACTGTGCATTAAAGCAATCGTATATAGTTTGAATTTCAAGGTAAGGGCAAATAAGAATTTATTCTTGGTGCGCCGAGATTGCCTATAATATTATTAGAAACTTTTCTTTAGATTGGTAAAGGCAGAATTTTTCAACCTTATCATATAGTTTTGGCATTTTTGTTTACATTCTTCCAGCTTTTTTGTTTGGTATCACTAAAAACTATAAATATTAAAAGTTGTCCATTGTTGTCCAGGGTTTTAATTTGTTTTGAGCACATTTTTTGTTTTTAGTGTTGGCCTTCACAATTTCAGATTTCTTTGTATGAAATAGTGTCGACATTTATCACTTTCTGGGAAAACCTTGTATAATTAAAATAATTTTTAAATTGTTGCCTTTTCTGATAAATAGTTTTGGCCTTACAGACCGAGGCGTTACCGGTGGCCCACCCTGTGTATTATAAACAGCACACCTTTTTGATTACATCCATAACAAAAAGTTACAAGTTACATAGGTTATTTTTGAGATATTTTAATTTCAAATGTTAATAGAATATTTTATTTGCTACGAAAAATCAAGCTACCTATGTTTGAAAAGTAATACGTCCACCTAAGCAGCTGTATCATACCCCAAAAATTCAAGATTTCAACTTTTACCAGAAATAAAGTAATTCAAAGTTTTCGCGTCGACACTCGGTATATATTGGCCAAAAAATTGTAAAAAATTGTTTTTTTTGTAAATTTGCAATTTTCACTAGGAATATCTTAAACATTAACAGAAAAAGGAAATAATCTGGTATGCAATTTTGTTAGCTTTCATTTGTCAAAGAGTAATAAAGAAAAAATAAAACCAGGAACATTTCCATATCTTAACCTTATAGCTAGATTCGGGGACTTGAAGAAAAAAATTATGTCCCCCCTCCTGCCCATCCATGTCTTCTACTACTCCCTATTAAACGTTCATTGACTAGAGTAGATTTAGATTAATAAATTAATAATAAACGCTCCTCTTTTCGTGGGCATATTACGACGCCTGCTTCAAATAGAGGCGCACAACTAGTAGCAAGTGCTTCATGTTGCTGGTGAGAATCTAATTGCAACAGGTGTGTTTATGATTAATTTATATCGGCGTTTTTTTGTTGACACAGAATATTTAAATATATCTATAATTGAGGAGAAACATGCTAAGCCCGTATTATGGCTGAATCATACTTGTACGAGTATAATATTTATTTATTTGAAGCCAACATTCATAGCCCAATTTACATGTTTCATTTACAGTTTTTTAAATAAAAATAATTTAAGTATAATAATCCTGAACATAATATTATTAATATATAATTAATATATTAAATAGGAATAAAACACCTCGAAATCTATACCACACTAATTTTTTGCAACAAAATAAACAATTCAAAACGCAAATATGTTGGACAATAGTGATAACAAGCAATAAAAAATATTTACACGAGAAGTTTAACGAAGAATATTTGATATTTACTACAGTTACGTATTCTACACTATAAATGGATTTTTAACCTTTTGTTTTTATGTTAAACTTCTTACGTAATTATTTTTTATTAAAATGTGTCAAAAAACGTCGTTATTCGGGCAGAAAACAGTCAAAATGTAGAACTTTTGTATATACTTCATAAAGTACTTTATCGGCAATGGCCTATAAAGTTAAATGTATAAAGTGTTGCATACCGATTAGAATTCTCAAATCTGAGGTAGGTTCTTTCATATGCCATTTTTGATTTTTTTGGAATCAGATTCAAAGACGCCAAAGAACCCCGCACAAATCTTATGGAAATTGGCTCCCGGTCAAATTGGCTGAAATTTGGATATGTTGTTTGTTTCGACATCCTGAGCAAAAGTCTCAATGGGCGCAAAGCTCAATTTTGCTTATTTTGGCTCCTAAGGAGCTCCAAAGCTCCACGGATTGACCATTATTTACTACTTAAAAAGGCAACCTCCTCGAAAGTTTAGTATTTGCTGCATTAAAAAAGAAGTTCCTTTTTATGTTTTCGGGGACGCTGGAGTGCGTTTAGAAACCCCGCACGGCGCGTTTGACCACATGCATTAGAATAGGGCTCAGACGCGTCGTGCGGGGTTTCTAAACGCACTCCTGCATTCAAATCCAATGCCAATATAATATTGACAGTTGACAGCTGTCAAACAACAAGCAATAATCAAAATTGATAAAATCCACATGTAAATATCTGGTTTTGAGGTTGGTAAGTTCAAAACATGTTAACAACTCGATATTGACAGTAGACAGCTGTCAGCTAACTGTCAAACAGTATGTGACAAGTTCAAAACTGATGTCAAAAAGAGCCAAAATAAGCAAAATTGAGCTTTGTGCCCATTGAGACTTTTGCTCAGGATGCCGAAACGAACAACATATCCAAATTTCAGCCAATTTGACCGGGAGCCAATTTCCATAAGATTTGTGTAGGGTTCTTTGCCGGGTCTCTAATTTCTGGGGGCGTGCCCGTAATAAATTCTTCGTCACTATTCATTTTTGTAAATTTTATTTTTTTGACACCAATTTTTATAAACTAGGTAATACGCCATTTTAGTGATTATGTAATTATGGTTCCACTGACAATTAAATTTTTTGAGTGTGTTTTGTTCGTTTTGTTTACCTAAATTATATCGTTTTTTCACTAAAGTAAGTAGATAACATGCATCAAATATACAATCGTTTAGTTACCAATTATATACCTTTAAACTATTTTTTATGGCTTGCAAATAATATTTAGAAAAAAAAAACTTAAAACAGTATATGTTACATTTATTGATGTTTTGGTTAAAAGTTTGGTTAGAATTAACTGTCAGTGGAAATAAAAAGACATCATACTTATTAGGGTATGGTCCGTTATTAACCGACTACTCACCGCAAGTAACCAGGATTTTTTGACAGCGGTTCCTGAAAAACACCAATTTGTTGGTTACTTTTAGACCACGGCTGACAGTTGCGTCAATTTTCTAACAGATTGACATTCGACTGAAAAGTAACCGTAAAAATATAGCGGTTAGTGAATTGACGTTTGAGTCACCATTTTCAGGTAACCGCGTCCCTAATTTAACCGATTTTTCAGGAATGTCAAGCAGAGCGGTTAGTTTTGGACATAGTAACCGATATTTCGGTTAATAACGAACCATACCCTAAACTGACGTATTAAATTAATTTGACATGAGTACAGTGACATGACAGAAATTGTTCAATTGTTCTCA